GGATTGAAAATGATATACCATGTAAACACTAATAAAACTGAAGTAACTATATTCATATCTGAGGCAAAGGAAACTTCAGAGCCAGGAAAGTTACTAGGAATATAAGGCGTCATTACATAATAATAAGAGTTCACTAAGAAGACAACAATCCTAAATATGTATGCACCCACCTAAGAGCCTCAAAATAAATGAAGCAAAAACTAAAAGAACTTAAAAGAGAAATACGGCCGGGCATGGTGGCTCATGCCTGTAATCCCACCACTTCTGGAGGCTGAGGCAGGTGGACTGCTTGGGCGCAGGAGTTCAAGACCAGCCTGGGCATCATGAAGAAACCCTGTCTCTACTAAAAATACAAAAAATTAGCCAAGCATGGTAGCTCACACCTGTAGTCCCAGCTACTGGGGAGGCAGAGGCATGAGAATCACTTGAACCAGGGAAGTAGAAGTAGAGGGTGTGGTGAGCCAAGATCATGCCACTGCACTCCAGCATTCCAGCCCGGGCAACAGAGCAAGACTCAGTCTCAAAAACAAAAAAACAAAAAAAGGAGAGAAATAGATAAATCCACAATTATAGTTGCAGACTTCAATACTCTTGGTAATCAGTAAACAAGTAGAAAATCAGAAAAGATATAAAAGAACTGACCAACACTAATAGCCAACTGGATTTAACTGACATTTATAGAACACTCTACACAAAAACAGCAGAATGTACATTCTTTTCAAGTGCACGAAGAACTGAAATCATGTGTGTTCTCTAGCCATAATGGAATTAAATTAGAAGTCATTTGAGACACTGTCTCAAAAAAAAAAAGGCATCAAATCAACAATCTATGCTTCAACATTAAGAAACTAGAAAAAGAACAAAATAAAAACTGAAGCAAGCATTAGAAAGATAAAGAAAGAAAGCAATGAAATTAAAAACAAAAATAGAAACAAAATTCAATCAGATCAAAATCCGGTTCTTTGAAAATGTAAAATAAATAAACCTCTAGTCAGACTGACAAAGGAAAAAGACAAAAGGCAAAATTATCAGTATCAGGAATGAAAAGAGACATCACTACAGACTCCACAGATATTAAAAGAGGCTGTGGCAAACAACTCTAAGCACATAAACTTGACAACTTAGATAAAATGCACCAATTTCTTATTAATAAAAACCACAGGCTGGGCGTGGTGGCTCACACCTGTAATTCTAGCACTTTGGGAGGTCAAGGCGGGCAGATCACCTGAGGTCAGGGGTTTGAGACTGGCCTGGCCAACATGGCAAAACCCCGTCTCTACTAAAAAATACAAAAATTTGCCAGGTGTGATGGCAGGTGCCTATAATCTCAGCTACTCAGGAGGCTGAGGCAGCAGAATCATCTGAACTCGGGAGGCGGAGGTTGCAGTGAGCCAAGATTGTGTCACTGCACTCCAGCCTAGGTGACAGAGTGAGACCCCATCTCAAAAACAAACAAACACAAACAAACAAATTTTTAAAACCCCACAAACTACCAACACTTAAGAATAGACCAAAAAAAAAAAAAAAAAAAAAGACGATGTAAATATTCTTACATCCATTAAATCAAAATCTTAAATGACTAAACAAAATTATAAGGAACAATCCTGGAATCATTTCAAAAACCATCTTAATAGATTCAGAGAAAAACTCATACACAATTTAAAGACTTTTAAAATATATACCTGCATTTATTCCGTGGCTTTATAATTCAATAGTTAACTTATTTGCTATAAAATGTGCACATTTCTATGGACAGTAATTGAAAAGACATAATGTGCTGTATTCACCTGAATTTTTATCAATACTTCTTCATCTCTCATTAATGTGGACAGTGTGGCCATTCTGAAAATGATCTTTCCTTATCAAAGTAAATCAAAGACACTGTTTTGTATTTATATCAAGTGAATTATTAACTATACAAGTAGTCAAGAGTATTACTTGAGTAAATACATACTGACATATGTATTAATGGTTAAATCCTACAAAACAGGATACGATACTTCATACAAGTGAAGTGATCCTTAAAAGTTGTGTAAAATCGGCTGGGTGCAGTAGTTCATGCCTGTAATACCGACACTTTGGGAGGCCGAGGTGGGCGGATCACTTGAGGTCAGGAGTCCAGACCAGCCTGATCAACATGGTGAAACCCCATCTCTACTAAAAATACAAAAATTAGCCAGAGGTGGTGGCGCATGCTGTAATCCCAGCTACTGGGGAGGCTGCGGCAGGAGAACTGCTTGAACCTGGGAGGTGGAGGTTGCACTGAGCCGAGATGGCGCCCCTCCACTCCAGCCTGGGTGAAAAAGTGAGACTTCGTCTAAAAAAAAAAAAAGGTTGTATAAAACCCACTATTTAGTTAATATACTCAAAAAGTGCTAGTATTTTATGAGACTGAATCACATGAAATTGCCAATTATTAAATGATTAAACCTAGAACAATGTAAGCACTGCATTCCTTGTGTTGTATGATTCAGCATTCTCAAGAGTGCTGATCACATCTACCCATCTATCACAATGAATTACCTTGGATGTTGAGGACTGAGGTTCACTGAACATTTGTCAAACATTTTCTGCAGATTTTTCACAAATGTTGAGGTTATGTACAAATCTAGGACCTCAACATTTACTAGGAATGGAGTACTTAACATAACTACAGAAATTTTTACTTGTACTTTTCTTAAGCTTTTTAAATTTCTTTTTTTGAATTTTTTTTTAGAAACAGGATCTTGCTCTGTTGACCAAGCTGGAGTGCAGTGGTGCAATCATAGCTCATGGCAGCCTTAAATTCCTGAGCTCAAGCCATCCTTCCACCTCACACTTCCAAGTACAGGTGAGCACCATCATGCCTGGCTAACTAAAAAAAATAATATTTGTAGAGACAGGGTCTTGCTATATTGCCCAGGCTGGTCTCAAACTCCTGGCTTCAAGCAATCCTCCTGCCTGAGCCTCCCCAAGTACTGGGATTACTGATATGAGCGCCACCGTACTTTTTTTTCAGTAATCTACTATTTTTCTTTTCTTTTCTTTTTTTTTTTTTTTTTGAGACAGGGTCTCGCTCCGTTACCCAGGCTGACATGCAGTGGTATAATCTCTACTCACTGCAACCTTCGCTTACCAAGCTCAAGCAATCCTTCAGTCTCAGCCTCCCAAGTAGCTGGGACTACAGGCAAAAACTAAGAGAGCCACCACGCCCAGCTAATTTTTGTATTTTTTGTAGAGATGGGGTTCACCACGTTGGCCAGGCTGATCTCAAACTCCTGAGCTCAAAATGATCCACCCGCATCTGCCTCCCAAAGTGTTGGGATTATAGGCGTAAGTCACCAAGCTTGGCCTATTTTTAATTCTTAACAAAAAATAACCCTGTTATCTGAAGCATGGATTCACTACAGAAGAAAGATTAAAGTCCATCAAGGCTTTCTAGTAACTCTAACTTAAAAACAAAGATCAATCAAGGTTAAAAACATTAAAAAGAGAGAAGGCAACCAAATTTCTAGGATTATCTCATTCCTTTGCTCAAAACTCTTTAATATCTTCCTACCTCAGAGTCAGTCCTACAGGCCATTTCCTACTATTCTCTTCCCTCTTCCACTCCAGCCACACTGGGCACCTTGCTGTCCCTCAAACATGCAAGTACAGTCCTCTATTGTTTAATAACCAGGACGGATTCTGAGAAATGTGTAATTAGGCAATTTCATCATTGTGTGAACATCATGGAATGTACTTAAACGCACCTAGATGGTACGGCCTACTACACACCTAAGCTATATGGTCTATTTGCTCCTAGGCTACAAACCTGTACAGGATGTTACTCCACTGAATACCGTAGGCAACTTTAACACAATGAAGTATTTGTGTATGTAAACATAGGTAAACATTAAAAAGTTACACAAAAAAAAGTATTCTACATAAGACCACTGTTAAGAGTCAGAAATGTCATTTGGCGCCTGACTGTATACTACTTCTCACCTCAGGGCTGTGCTGTTTCCCTCTACCACGAATGCTCTTCTTAAATATGGCTCACTTCATCTCTTTCTGATACCTGCTTAAATGTCATCTTCTCAAAATGGCCTTGTCTGACCAACTTATTAAAATAGTATCCCAACTGCAAGTCACTGTTTTCTTCCTAGTTGTCTGTCTTCCCCCCAATAGAATATAAACTATAAAAGGAAGAGTGGCCTTTGTTTTATGCGCTGCTCTATCTCCAGACCCTAGAAGAGTAGCAGGTTCTCATAAGAATATGCAGAACAAGATGTTGCACAGTGTATATATATGCCTCCAATTAAAACTTCTGTCACAGATAACAAAAAAACCTAAGAAAACAGTTTGAAACACTGCACGCTCTGCTACTTAGAATGAAGTAACTATGCTTTAAAAGGAAATGTTTCATTTTCAAAAAAATACACTTTAACAAATGGCTGGACTCCCAAAACACAAAACAGTAACGCCAAGTGCATGCATGCTGCAATTCTGCTGATACAGAATGCTCTGGTTTATCAAAAAGGACGTTCATTAAGCCATTTTCCCAGGAACCACGAAACTCTAGCTAAAGATTCTTAAGGAAAAATAGAGGCAGCGTTAACATTAAAGTAGTGATATATCGTGATTAGGAAACACACATTTCCTACTAGTTGAAACTTCATAGCACCAAGCAAGATAACCGGAAATCGGATCGGAAGTGTCTGCCCCACGGAGACACTGGGAGAGAAAAAGTCCTCAAAGAACTGCACCTCCTTTTCTTGGCGCCAGGCTGGCTACTAGGACTCAGTCCGGAGATGCAGGGGGCGGTGTGGGGTTTGGGAGGAAGAGGCCTGGACTGCGAGTGTGGGGTGTGCCCAGGCCACCTTCCTCTCCCACTGATTTTCTCTCAAGAGAAAATGGAAAGTTGACTGCGCCTCCTACCCGCTCCCAAAAAGGACGTGGGGAGGGTTACTGAGGGTAGACCCCTCCCCTTCGCCTAGGCAGGCCTCGGCCCCAGCAGCGCTCCCCAGTCTCCAGCTCACCCGGCTCCCGGTTGATCTCGATGTCGAAGTGGCACTGCGGCCGGTCCTGCGCCCCCATCGCGACCGAGGTGGCGGCAAGAGCTGGGAGAGAGGGGGAGGAAAGCGGTCAGGGTAGGGCCGAGGGCGGGGGCGAGGGCAGGGGCGAGGGCGGGGCTGAGACGAAGTCCGCGCCACGGTGCCTCACGCCGGCCCGTCGCAACAGCGCAGGAGGCCAAGACGAGGCCCCCTCCCGCCCCAGGCCTCGCGGCTCCCACGCAGCGCGTACGCATGCGGGCGAGCTCTTCACCTGGCTGGCCTCCAGCCTGAGCGGGTCCCAGTGAGCAGACGAGAAAGCACTGCCACTGCAGCCAGACCCCAACGCCGCTAACCGAACGCCACCTCCTCCCCCGGGCCCGGCCTCCCAATGCCACGCTAAATCCCGCGAGAGTCGGGACAAATACCGCGAGAGTACAGTCTAGATGGGGGTGGTCAACCGGAGGTGGTGGCAGCCGGGGCGCACGATCGGGGGCGTGTCAGGGGAGCTCTCGAGGAGCCTCCAGCCGGCGCTCCTATACCTGCGCGCTCCCTGTTTGCCCCCCGCTTTGAAGTCAGTCGCCCAATGTGAAAGCCGTGGATGCGCCTGCGCCCTCCGTCTCGTCCGGCTGTGAGCGTCTGCGGCATTTTCGGATACCGCGAGACTTCCCTGTTTCTGAGCGCTGTGAAGGAGCTGAGTGAATGGAGGCTTTGAGTTTTCGTTAGCCAAGAGGTCGTGTCATTCTGTGTTCCTGTTGGCCAGGGGTGGTTATGTCTGTGTCCTACTGTTAGGTCTTTTAGGCTGAGGAATGTGTTCCTTCCCGCTTTGGCACCAGCGTCACTGGCACCGTTTCTGTTCTGTGCTTACTGGCCATTCTGCATCTTTTCTGAAGTTTCAGTTCCAGTCTTTGCGCGTTTTTAAATCTGGTTCTTCGTGTTTAACAGCTCTGGATACAAATGTTTTGTCAGATATATGTATGTTCTGAATAAAAATCTTTTGTTACATAAATGATTGCGAAGTCTTTCTCCCAATCTGGGCCTGTCGTTTCATTGTTTTGAATATGTTTTTGGCAAAGTTGTTTTTAATTCGGGTGAAGTCAATCTTTTATGGTTTGTGCTTTTTCTGTGTTAGGAAATCTCTGCCTACCTCAAGTTCGTGAAGATATTCTGTGTTCTCATATATGTTTTACATAGTCTTTTACGTGTAAGTCTATGATCTAATAGCATTAATTTTTGCTTATGTTGTCAAGTGTCACATTTTCCTATCGGGATATACAGTCGTTCCATTACCATTTGTTGAAAAGACTCTTACACATTGAATTACCTTAGCCTTGTGACCATGTATGTGTGGGTCTATTTCTGGATTTTTGTTCCAATGATCTGTGTATCAGTACCACACTATCGTTTAAGTTTTTTAACTATAAAATATACATTACATTAAAGTTGCCATTTTAACCATTTTTAAGTGTACAGTTCACTGGCATTAATTGTATTTCACACAGTTGTGCAACCCTCAGTACCGACCATCCATCCACAGAACATTTTCCATCTTGCAAAACTGAAACTCTGTATCCATTAAACAGTAACTCCCCATTTCCCTCTTTTCCCAAGTTCCTGGCAGCCACCCTTCTACTTTCTCTCTGTAAATTTGTCTACTCTAGTATTTGCCTACTCATATTTGAGTAGAATCATACAATATTTGTTCTTTTAGGCTGGGCGCGGTGGCTCACTCCTGTAATCCCTGCACTCTGGGAGGCCGAGGCAAGTGGATCACCTGAGGTCAGGAGTTTGAGACCAGCCTGGCCAACATGATGAAACCCCATCTCTACTAAAAATACAAAAAATTAGCAGGACGTGGTGGCGGGCACCTGTAATCCCAGCTACTCAGGAGGCTGAGGCAGGAGAATCGCTTGAACCCAGAAGGCGGAGATTGCAGTGAGCCGGGATCATGCCACTGCACTCCAGCCTGGGCAACAAGAGTGAAACTCTGTCTCAAAAAGAAAAAAAACAACATTGTTCTTTTGTAACTGGGTGATTTCACTTAGCATGTCTTCCATTTCATCCATGTTGTAGCATGTCAGAACTTCCTTTTTTGAGGCTGAATAATATTCCATTGTATGTATATATCATATTTTGTCTATCCATTCATGTGTCAGTGGATATTTAGATTGCTTCTACCTTCTGGCTATTGTAAATAGTGCTGTTATGAGCGTGGGTGTACAAATACCTCTTTGAAATCTGCTTTCAATTATTTTTTGTATATGCCCAGAAATGGAATCACTGGATCATAAACTAATTCTATTTAAGATTTGTCCAGGAATTACCATACTATTTTCCATAGCTGCAGTATTTTACATTTCCATCAGCAATGCACAAAGGTTCCAATTTTTCCACATCGTCACCAACACTTGTTATTTTTTGGTTTTCTTTATTGTCATCCTAACGGATGTGAAGTGGCACACTGTTTTAATTACTGTAGTTTTATAGTAAGTTTGGAAATTGGGCTCACTTAGATTGGGTGTCCAATCTTTTGGTTTTCCTGGGCCACATTGGAAGAATTGTCTTCAGCCATACATAAAATACCCTAACACTAACGATAGCCAATGAGCTTAAAATCGCAACAAAATCTCATAATATTTCTTGAAAATTTATGAATTTGTGTTGGGCTGCACCCAAAGTTGTCCTGGGCCACATGTGGCCCATGGACGGCAGGTTGGACAAGCTTGACTTAGATCATTTCCGATCTGTTTCTGCACCTATGTCACCTTTTTTTTTTTTTTTTGAGACAAAGTCTCGCTCCGTCACCCAGGTTGGAGTGCAGTGGCGCAATCTTGGCTCACTGCAACCTCAACCTCCTGAGATCAAGCAATTCCCCTGCCTCAGCCTGCAGGGTAGCTGGGACTACAGGCACGCGCCACCACACCTAGCTAATTTTTTTGTATTTTTAGTAGAGACAGGGTTTCACTGTTGGCTAGGCTGGTCTCGATCTCCTGACCTCGTGGTCTGCCCGCATTGGCCTCCCAAAGTGCTGGGATTACAGGGGTGCGTCACCGTGCCCCAACACCTATGTCACCTTTTTAAAGTGCAGTCAAACCTTTGGTACTTCACAGCATCACAGAAGTGCTGTGGTTTGTCAGAGCTTGCCCATCCTACCTCCCTGAGAGTCCGGTGTGTCTATCAGAGGAGCAGTCTCTAGGCTGAATTAAGAAGCTAGCGGTCTTGGATCTGATTTGCTGACAGTTAAGATTTGAACAGTATGAAATGTACATGCCTTTCTGGAGATGAAATAGTTTGATAAAGCTAACTTTCATACATGATTCATGAAAGGAAAGGATGGAGAGCACTGCCCAGCTTTGTAATGACTGTGTTCAGGACAGCAGGCTTCAATGTAAATAGGTTTTAGAGCTCAGGAATGAGACATTTAATTTGGGATGTACTTAAAGAACTTTAATCCTGGAGTTTGTTCTTATCTTGACATTCCAATAATTCTCATCTTTCTGCCACTGGTTATGTGACCTGAGACAAATCACTTTGGTCTCTCAGAAGTTTACTTTCTTCATCTCTAAAATAAATGAGATAAAATATCTCCTTTCTAAGGTCCTGCCTCTCTCACAGATTATTTTATTCTGTCCTGTGATTTGAAATTGTATTTTAGATGATTCGAAGATAAAGTATGCAATTTGGTCTGTGCTTAAGGTGAAGAAACTACTGGGACAAGGCAGGCCTAGGGCTACTATCAACCAAAGGGACTGACACCTCCCCCATCTCTTCCAAGAGTGGTAGAAAGTTGGTATCCAAAGAGTTTACAAACTCAGACTTAATTTGTCTATGATTTACCATGAAGGAGAATGATTGGTAGTACGAATTTTCAGGTAATGATTCTGGGTGTTTAGCCTTTTAGAGTGTGATAACGCCAGCAATTGGAACTCCAGGGGCTAGGACTCTGGAAAACAATCAAGAATGTTAGTGGGGAAACAGACAAAATAATTTCCTAGAAAACAGAAATGATCAAAATTGACTCAAAAGAAATAGAAGTCCTGCATAAACCAATAATCACTGAAGACATTGAATTAGTAATCCCAAATCTCCAGACAACTGTGGAAGACATTTTGAGACAAATTGGAAATTTGATTATGGTCTAGATGTTAGATGAGACCAAAGAAGTATATTTAATTTTGTTAGATGTGATAATGAAATTTTGATTATGTAAGAATATGTGGTGTAGTGGTTCTCACCAGTAATGCCAGCAATTTGGGAGGCCAAGGCAGAGGATCACTTGAGCCCAGGAGTTAGAGACCAGCCCTGGCAACATAGTGAGACCCTGTCTCTGCAAAAAATTTAAATACTAGCTGGGCATGGTGGCACACACCTTTAGTCTCAACTTCTCAGGAAGCTGAGATGAGAGAATTGCTTGAGCCAGGAGTTGAAGCCTTCATTGAGCTGTAATTGTACCACTGCACACCAGCCTGGATGACAGATTTAGACCCTATCTCCACCACTGCACGCCAGCCTGGACGACAGATTTAGACCCTATCTCTAAAATGTAAAAATGAAAAAGAGAAATGTCTTTGTCCTCTTCTCCTTGGTTTTTTTTTTTTTTTTTTTTGGAGATGGAGTCTCGCTCTGTCACCAGGCTGGAGTGCAAGGGACGATCTCAGCTCACTGCAACTTCCGCCTCCTGGGTTAAAGCGAGTCCCCTGCCTCAGCCGCCAAAGTAGCTGGGACTACAGGCGTGCACCACCATGCCTGGCTAATTTTTTGTATTTTAGTAGAGATGGGGTTTCACCACGTTGGCCAGGATGGTCTTGATCTCCTGACCTCGTGATCCGCCCGCCTTGGCCTCCCAAAGTTCTGGGATTACAGGTGTGAGCCACCGCGCCCAGGCATCCTTGGTTTTTTAGAGATGCATACTGATGTATATAGGAATGAAAACACATGACATCTGGGATTTGCTTGCAAATACTTCCCCCCTCCCCCAGAGGGCCATCTTGCCCACGAATGATCAAAGGTTAGTTTTGGCACCACATGAGTAAACAAGCTATTTAGATAAACTCCTTTACATTCCTTTGTACCTACTCTAAGTTATTTACTTAAGGTAAGGATTAGGCTACCTTCTGCCAGATCTATTACTGCAGCTTATGCAAATTCCCCCAGCCTTCCAAGAAGGTTTGGGTCTATTTCTTATAACTATCTTTAATTTTTTTCCCACCAGCCTGACTGAACTCCCACAATGAGAGAGCTTGGATCTCATCAAATTCATATGAAAAAACCACTGCAACAAACACTTCTTGTCAAATAGGATCCTTACTCGTTTAATATTGACCCTATTTGTTTGCTGATTTCATCCCTTAAATTCTGCTTTGAATCCTTGGCTCTTACTCTTTCTCTGGAAATCACC